CACAGATTATACATTCAGAAAACTGACAGGAGAAGTACATATTTCCAAATGGCTAAGGAAATTCTATATCCCTGATTTTTCCTACAGAATGACATATTAAAAAAAGTATCCAAGGCTGCATTCTTGGTATAAAACAGGAACTGAAGTAAAGACTTAAAAGCTGCAGATGTACACAGCCACCGAACAAATTAAAATGTAAACCCTTTCATTTCCATTGTATAGTTGCTCATTTTAAAATGGAAAGATATTAGGCTAAAGTAAGGTTCTGAAATGCTCTACCATATGACCAAAAGTTGTATTTGTTTCACTCTTAGGCATACAAAATTGTAACAAGAATAATCAAATTAATAACTACAGAAGGATAAAACTACAGAACTACTCACACTTTCAAAGTGAGTATGTGAATAGATATCACTATGCAAATTCACTTATCCAAATATTGGTCTATGACACTGGAATCCAATTAATAGTCAAACCATAAAACAAAGAAATTCTTATTTGTAGTGCCCACTTATTATTGCTTGCAAGTAAAAAATAATAAAATAGGGTATAGCTTACAAAAGATTACATTTAGAAAGCATACCAAAAAAAATAAATAACAATCTCTCACAGTTTTGGTCAATTCACTCCTGCTCCTAAGCTGAGTTCCTGTCCATCACTTCTCAGTCATTCCACCACTACCTCATCTATTAAGTTCCAAGTTCACCTGTAGCTGCATGTCCTGTCTGTCAAAAAAGACTTAGAGGATACCCAAATAAGATAGCTAGACAAGAATTTTATTGCCTCTCCCTTAGATAAGAAAGAGCTGCAGTAGAAAGTGTCTGACTCCACACAGAAAGGAGTAAGGAAGCAATCCTATGCATGCTCAAACAGAAAAGAATCCTGCAACCCCCAACATTCTCCAGCCAGCCATGTTCCTCCAAATTTTCACCCCACAGAGGCAATGTTTTACAATGGGGGTCTCTTTTGGCATAAAGGGTCTCTTTTAGCCTCCTCGGGTGTGGGTTTCAGGGAGGAATGGTACTGGGAAGGCTTATTCCTCCCCTCCTGCTGAAGAGCAATCTGTGAAAACTGAGCTGCAAAGTTCTAAACTGGGAAGGCATCTCAGGGTTCCCAACTTTCTCTCTCCTTCAGACCTCCTGCTTCAGCATGTGGGTGGCAGGGGGGCTGGGTGCCAGTGCAGCAATGGTGGGGTGGGGGAATGGGATCAGCAGATCAGATCAGCTTCCTCCTCTCAGCTTCACACAATTTTAATTAAGTCAGGGAAGGAATAGGGCTGTTGTGACTAAACTCTTTAATACTGCCTGTACACTTCCTCTGGCCTTTAGTCCTGTTGACCTGATTCAGTATCTGACCTCCAGCCCTTCCGTGCTCACCCTCTTGGCAGTGCCTTCACAAGTCTTTGTGGGCATCAGTCACAAACTAAGCTCTAGGCCTGATAGCCTCAGAAGAAGCAGCAGCCAGACCCTGCAAGTGAGAGGAGACACAGGAAGCAAGAGAATGCTTGGTGTTTTCCAGAAGTAAAGATGAATCTTACTGGACACACCAAGAACCATTGTGATGTGGTGGTTAGAAAACTGCATCATAATGTTTGTACCAAGACCTGGGGATCTGATAAGCTGGTAGAGCATGGACGAGGGGTACATGAAGGGAGTTGCATTCTTTGAGACAGTACTTTCCACCTATTGAGAAGCCCACTAATTATACATGATGGTGGTGGGCCTGATGGAAGAACTTCAGGAAAGAAATCTGGTGAAATGCTTTACTTTCGTTCCTGCACAGCACTTGATTATACTCCACTTTCCCCTCTGCTTAGCTTTGCATCACTTTTCTCCCCATGCCATAAAGTGCCTTATGGCATTTCCTGAG